ATATTCTGCCTATATTTGTCATCTTTGGGTGATTTTGATTAAATAAATAGGAAAACCCGTCGCAGAGCTTCACTTCTTGAACTTGCGAGCACCTTACCGGAGTATCAGTAAACAACATGGTTTTCACATCAGTCTTGTTTTCCCAACAGCAATGCCATTCAACATCAAATAATAAAAAAAGACTACACGGTGTCAACCTGAGCCAGGTGTAAAGCGTTTTATTAAAACCAACAATTCTGCAGAAGATGTTACATCTTTTGAAAGTTTGAGGTCTTCGATTCTTGACACTTGTTTGAAAGACAGCATGAAATTAAAAAGCTGATCTCTGACATCAAAGAGTTTTTGTGTCAAGCTGACATTATCTACAGCCTTACATTTTTACACCTCTTTACATCACTGTATCCTCCAGAAAGGGTCAAATAAATGTTTAGATGAATAAATATTACTACTAGGATTTGGAGAATTGATCAGCACAATTACAATGCCCAAGTTTATAAACTATACTAGATAGGGGGTTAAAGATTACTACTGGTATTCTTAATTACTAATTCAGAGTGTGAGACCAGAACATTTGAATCTTGTTTCTTGCTGCTTAAGGACAAAGTGAAAGTTTATTCTGTTTGTATATAATCAGCATGCCTGTGATACACATGACAAATGTACTGTATTTCCACCTATTTTCTCTACACACTTGTTCCTGTTCAGGGTCGTGGGGAGCTGGTGCTCAACTCTAGCTGCCACTGCGTGAGAGCCGGGGTACACCTGGACAGGTTGCCAGTCCAAATACATTTTATCACCATATACATTTTTTTAAGTAAATCTTCTTTAGATTGATCTTGTGACTTTGAAAAGACCAATGCTATGAAAAGTTTAGCATCTATGTTAATGAAGTCAGCCCAAAGTTTTCAACAAGGCCGTGTCTAGTTTCACCTCCGTTTTATGTTTGTTTGTTACAGTAGTCCCTCGGAACTTCTCGATTCAACTTTCACGGACTCACTAGCTATGTTTACATGCGCAGAATTCTTTGACCGGATTGAAATGTGTTCTGTTTGAATAATTCAAATGTATTGTTTACATGGGCACAATCTGTTCATGATGAGCGTTTACATGCAGCGGGCTTTGTTCTGAACAGCAGTACTGACATGCGCAGAGTGGTAAACTCTCCTTAAAAAAACCACAGAAGAAGAAGTTCTACTTCCGGGTGAACGTAAACAAACCTGAGCACCCAAAATGGACCCGTGACAGGTTTTAATGATGGTGGAGACGTTACTGCACTCCCTGACTGAGCTACAGGTAATACAGATCATTTTGAGCTCTTTCAAAGTTTCTAGTAGAAATGTTGTGTCGCTCACCGACCAGTTTTGCTTCCCTGACATGCTAATATTATTAGCATTAGCCAGGCGGAAATGGCAAAGTCGCACATGCGCAGTCAGGTCAGTTTTTCACGATCAGATAAAAACGAACAGATCAAGCGTTTACATGCGCACCGATCGGGTTACGGATCGGCGTAAACCACCAGTTTCGTTCTGATCACAAATTATAACGGATCGCGCCGAATACACAAAAAATAACCCGAACGGAGTGTTTACATGACACACTTTTATTCCGACCGGCCATTTGATCCGGTTACTTATGTCCATGTAAACATACCCACTGTTTCGCAGGTTTTCAACGTAAGATTGTACAAACCGGATTACAAAAAAGTTGGGACACTAAACAAATTGTGAATAAAAACTGAATGCAATGATGTGGAGGTGCCAACATCTAATATTTTATTCAGAATACAACACAAATCACAGATCAAAAGTTTAAACTGAGAGAATGTATCATTTAAGGGAAAAATCTGTTGTTTCCAAATTTCATGGCATCAACAAATCCCAAGAAAGTTGGGACAAGTCCATTTTTACCACTGTGTGGCATCCCCCCTTCTTCTTACAACACTCAACAGACGTCTGGGGACAGAGGAGACCAGTTTCTCAAGTTTAGAAATAGGAATGCTCTCCCATTCATGTCTAATACAGGCCTCTAACTGTTCAATCGTCTTGGGCCTTCTTTGTCGTACCTTCCTCTTTATGATGTGCCAAATGTTCTCTATAGGTGAAAGGTCTGGACTGCAGGCTGGCCATTTCAGTACCTGGATCCTTCTCCTACGTAGCCATGATGTTGTGATTGCTGCAGAATGTGGTCTGGCATTATCGTGTTGAAAAATGCAGGGTCTTCCCTGAAAGAGATGACGTCTAGATGGGAGCATATGTTGTTCTAGAACCTGAACATAGTTCTCTGCATTAATGGTGCCTTTCCAGACATGCAAGCTGCCCATGCCACAAGCGCTCATGCAACCCCATACCATCAGTGATGCAGGCTTCTGAACGGAGCGTTGATAACAACTTGGGCTATCCTTGTCCTCTCTGGTCCGGATGGCATGGCGTCCCAGTGTTCCATAAAGAACCTCAAATCGTGACTCATCTGACCACAGAACAGTCTTCCATTTTGCCACACTCCATTTTAAATGACCCCTGGCCCAGTGCAAACGTCTGAGCTTGTGGAGCTTGCTTAGAAATGGCTTCCTCTTTGCATTATAGAGTTTCAGCTGGCAACAGCGGATGGCACGGTGGATTTTGTTCACTGACAATGCTTTCTGGAAGTACTCCTGAGCCCATTCTGTTATTTCCTTGACAGTGGCATTCCTGTTTGAGGTGCAGTGACGTTTAAGGGCCCGGAGATCACGAGCATCTAGTAGAGTTTTACGGCCTTGACCGTTAAGCACAGTGATTGTTCCAGATTCTCTGAATCTTTTGATGATGTTATGCACGGTTGATGATGATAACTTAAAAGTCTTTGCTACTTTACGCTGGGTAACACCATTCTGGTATTGCTGCACTATCTTTCTGTGCAACAATGGTGGAATTGGTGATCCTCTTACCATCTTGGCTTCTGAGAGACACTGACACTCTGAGAAGCTCTTTTTATACGCACTCATGTTGTCAATTGACCTAATTAGTGTTAATTGGTCTTCCAGCTGTTCGTTATATGCTCAATTTCCTTTTGTCAGCCTCTTATTGCTACTTGTCCCAACTTTTTTGGGATTTGTTGACACTGTGAAATTTTGAATCAACATATTTTCCTTTAAAATGTTACATTTACTCAGATTAAACTTTTGATCTGTCATCTATGTTATAATACGAATAAAATATTGACATTTGCCATCTCCAAATCATTGCATTCAGTTTTTATTCACAATTTGTTTAGTGTCCCAACTTTTTTGGAATCCGGTTTGTATACACGACACACAATTGGCTGACTGATGGAAGTCAACCAAGCAGAGCATTGTGCTCTGTATCCTGAGCACTGATTGACTCAGTAACCCTAGCATCAGTCTGTCTGCTCTCTTTCGCTGTTCTCTTTTAGAGCATTTAGAGTGTAAAACATTGTTAAGAACATTGCAAGAGTGTGGCAAGGGTTTATAAAAGCCTTAAAATATATATAAATACTAAAATAAATACAGCATCCCTACTTTGCAGATTTTCACCTATTGCAAAGGTGTCTGGAATGTAACTCCAACGATAAGTGAGGGACTACAAAATCCTAAAATAATTTCTAAATAAGTGCTATGTGTTGTCCTCATTGTATATTCCCATACAATAATTAAATTAGTCTCTGCATTCAACCCATCACATCTGGGATACACCCAGGTGGAGCAGCAGGCAGCTATGCAAGCACCCAGGGAGCAGTTAAGGATTAGGTGTCTTGCTCAAGGACACCACGACATGTGGGCATGGCGGGGAGTTGAGCCTTTGACTTTCTGGTGACAAGTCGGCTGCCCTACCTCTGCACCATCTCCACCCCCAGATGCACAAAAAAACCCATGCACAAATCCAAATTTTTTTATTGATTTTATTTCAGAAGGTGAAAAAGCTGATTTAAAACTACATATTCTGATTTAAATGCACAAAACCTTTATAAATGTTTATATTTTAGCCCTTATACGCAGGTGTGGATTTATCTAACGGTGCATTGAGAAGTAAAACCCTAAAAAATAAAATGAAGGTTTCAACTTATTGACCCTATTAACTGTTTTGCTTGGTTAGTAATCTCAATCTCACCTGCTTATTCTAAAGAAATGCTGCATAATTTTGGTTGCAGTGTAGAAAAAAAGTTTAAATGCAGCATTTATAAACCCTAATCTCTTATTAGACATTTAAGGGAAAAAAGTACACAGAAGAGATCTAATTAGGCCTGACGCAATAAACAGTAAATCAGTTAATCACATGATAAATTAAAATAATCAACCTCATTTTCGTTTATTGGCTTTATCGTTTCTTCGTGTCTCTCTCTTTGTACTGGACACTGGATGACAAAAAGGCTCAACTCCGGTGCTCTTCGCTGACCCCGCACTTTCTCTTTTCCCTTTAAAATCCATTTTAACCGACCCAAATCATGTTTTTGCATCGTTAAAAGCAGCTAAGCTGAGAAGCTAAGCTAACAGGCCGACCTCGGGGGGGGGGGGGGGGACGTCTTGTCGAAGCTCCAAAATTCACGGTTGAAACCCGTGCCTTCGTGTAAAAAGAAGCACAGAACTTGTTTACTGATTTTTTTTTATATTAAAAGCTTTGTGTGAAAAATGCTATGCTAAAGAGCTCAAACCACACCGAGCATCCGCCATTTTGAGAACCAAAAAAAAAAAGGAAGGAGAGATAGCCCATGTCACGTCAAGGGGCCTCCCTCCCATTTTTCTTAAAGAGACACGCTGCTCGCTCCCTCACTATCCATCTTTCGTTTCAAACAGTCTTATACTGCCATCCGGTGGTCAAAAAGGTACTACACGCAAAATAAACGAATCAGCATTTCTTCTTAAATTTGCCAACAACTACTAATTATTGTCAAATTTCAAACAATGTTATCGTTTATCGCAATAATTTCTGAGACAATTAATCGCCCAGCAAAATTTGTTATTGTGACAGGCATAGATCTAATTACGTAAATTTGTTAGCATAACTTACCTTGGCTCCAGCAAGCAGGCCTAGCGAGATGGCAACACGGGCCCGCAGGTCTGGTCTATCTTTTGGCCAAACATAAGACAGCATAGCAGAAAGAATCTTGGCTGAGTTCACCTCCTTCAGCTATAAATAAAAAGAAAAAAAAAATCTTATTAAAAATTCTCCTTTGTTTCCTTATTCGGGCTTGTCAAATAGAGATAACGTGTGTAAAATGGTGTTTAGTGCAACATTATCTTTCTAATCTGAGTTTTGCCTGTAAACATGAGCAACTAATGTTTATTCTGCATTAGTGCGACAGAACCAGGAACCTTAAGATGGCACTGTGGGCAGACACATGGAACGTCAAATGTCAACAGGAGTCCCTTGGGAGATCCGACAACAACAACGATAGACTCTCCAGGTGGACTTGTGGATCCAGTCTGACACTACAAGTCCCAAGAGACACCTGGGCTGTCATCTCAGCTGAGGCTGGGAACCCACTGGTGCCAGCGTGGCTGTTTACCAACACTCCAACGCACATCTGCCACAGGGACCCTGGCAGGCCAAAGAATACGCTGTAATTCCTCTAATCCACTCAATATGGTGGCACCATGTTAAGCACAGCTGCATGTCAGCACCTCCAAACAAATGACAGAGAAATTACGTCTCACGCCTGCCTTCATAAATAAAGAAATGTTTTATACTGTGAGAGATGACACTAAATAATACGCAATCTAAAAAGCCCACCAGCTAATCTACATTAATAATGAAAGCAACAACTTAAAAAAATTAAAGCTAAATGCTAAAGATTTACAAGTTTAATATATTATCAGAGGATGCTTTATTTGATGAGTGTGATTTTAAATAGAGTGAACTAGTTTCAACCAGGGGGTGTCAACAAAATATGCTGAAGGGTCAGAATAATCCATCAACTTTATAACACTATTTAATTTTCTGTTTAATATTAATTATAATAATGCTTTGTCTGGAAGTGTCTCGGGCCGCAACAAAAGTGCTACAGGTAGCTGCTTCAATTAGTGAACAGCCAGAGAATAGAGTGTAAATAAACGAGTGTTTGCATGAACCATTTAACACATTTCTTTTATGGGAATTGTTTAAAGACAACAACATTCATAAAGTGAAGGTTCGACCCAAATTAATGCAACAGATTGTTTTTGTACAGTACGCTGAGATGACATTTGTTATGAACTGGCACCCTATTAAACAACTGAATTGTACAGAATTAAATATTAATTAACCTGGCCCATTTGCACAGTGCTTTAAAATAAATACCCTCATCCATCTTTAAAAACAAGACAAAATATTAAAATGAATCGGCTAAAACAAGATAACACAAGATCAGAATAGATAAAAGGATTAAAAAATTAACTAAAAGAACAGATTGTGTTCAAACAACATAAACTGGTGGAACAAAGCTGGCTTTTAAAACGTTTGGTAGGTCAGTCGCAATAAAAAATTAATTAATTAATCGCATGATAAATGAAAATTATCTACCTCATTTTCATTTATCGGCTTTATCATTTCTTCGTGTCTCTCTTTCTACTGAAGACACTGGATGACAAAAGGCGCACTTCACTAAACCCTCCTTTTCTCTTTAAAATCTGTTTTAACCATCCAAAATCACATTTTTGGATGGTTAAAAGTAGCTAAGCAGAGAAGCTAAGCTACGAGCTAAGCTAACAGGCCGACATCGGGAAAAAACCTCCATCTTGTCGAAGCTCCAAAATTCACAGTTGAAACCCGTGTCTTCGTGTAAAAAGTTGTTTTTCTCTGCAAAAAGAAGCTCAGAACTTGTTTACTGATTTCTTTATTAAAAGCTTTGTGTGAAAAATGCTATGCTAAAGAGCTCAAACCACACCGAACGTCCGCCATTTTGAGAACCGAAAAAAGGAAGGAGAGACAGCCCATGTCACGTCAAGGGGCCTCCCACCCAGTTTTCTTAAAGAGACATGCTGCTTGATCCCTCACTATCCATCCTTCAGTTCAGTCTTATACTGCCATCCAGTGGTCAAAAAAGGTACTACACACAAAATTTACCAACATTTCTTCTTAAATTTGTCAATAATTACTTAATGTCAAATTTCAAACAATATTGTCATTTATCGCAATAATTTCTGAGACATCCAACATTTTTCAGTCAGGTCATCTGGACAGTTTCTTTTTTTTTGTGCTGAAACGTTTCGCCTTCGGCCCGGAAGGCTTCATCAGGCGAAGGCGAAATGTTTCAGCACAAAAAAAAAAAAGAAACTGTCCAGAAGACCTGACTGAAAAATGTTGCATTGTATACCTGGATTATTGAGCATGGACTTTGATAATTTCTGAGACAATTAATCGCCAAGCAAAATTGGTTATCATGACAGGCCTAACGTTTGGCTTACATTTTGACACTTGTTGTCTATGTCCTGACAGGAGGAGCTGCACAGTGCAGCCTGTGAGACACATTCTTTTAAATGAATCCAGATATCCTCAGTACCTGCCTAGAGTAGAGGGATTCTGGATTCAGATGGCTCTCTCCCATTAGCCTGATGCTGTTGTTGTTGTTGTTGTTGTTTTCTTTGGCTGCTCCCTGGTTTTACTCCAGATGACTGTCCTGACACAACCTGGGCTTGAACCTGCACCCTCAGGATTACAACACTGCAGTCCCCTCTCCTGCCAGCTTAACGCACCATCTAAAATGCCCATCAGTAAATCTATAATAACAATAGCAACAACAATTAAAATAAAAATCAGACGCTTGGCATTTAAGATTTACAAGTTTGAATCTTTTATTTTCAGAACCAAGGTTTACATATGATGACTGGAGATCTGAAATAAATAAAGATGCTGCAAACTGGTCTAGGGCATGGATCATCGACAACATTTGTTGAAGGGGCAGAACCGTTCATAATCTGATTAAAACGGAGCTTAAACTCAGATAAAATTTAAAACCTGAGCTTGTTCAAACAGGTAATTGTTCGTAACCTTTCAAAAGAACTCCATAGTAAAAAAAGCTGAACCGTCGCTTTTAAAAAATAAGGCGGTTTACAAAACAGAGCAAGTGTTGTAAGCGAGCACTCTGATTGGCTGAAGCGCTGCTATCATTATCCCCTTCTGAGCTTGGCTAGAAAAGATTATAGATCGAATTGTGCACAAATAGTAATAAACTAATAAACTTCTGGATCAGATATGGCCAAAAAGCTTGCTTTTTGATAATCATTGATTTACTGGTTTCAAAGACTTTTGGGATTAGCAGTAGAGATTCCAGCAATTAAACAAGATTCTGTCATGAGGGCAATGAAAGGTGAATTTAAAAATATTGGAGAGAATAAGTATGAGCTGAATCAATAGGTTTAATTTTCCATGTGATATTTAAAGTACAACTGATCGTTGTAAACCAATTTGATTCTGAAACAGCAGCATCTTATTTTTACTTGTTATGGCGGACTCAAACAAGGTGCAGGACTCACCACATTTTTTGGATCTGCACTTAGACCTCCCCCTGCATTTCCATGCCAACATGTCCGTTTGTCCATCGCCTGTAAATGCTGTGAAAATATAATCAGATCATTTTGATTCCCATGCTTGATTTTGATAACAGACACTAATGTGGTTACTATTATTAAAGCACGCTTACCTTTGAAACTCCTTCTAAAATCTGATGGCTGTTTTCTGTTCTGTTTGTGCTCCATGTTGCTGTTCGTAGGAGTGGAAGGCAGCTTAACTGAAACACAAGACAAAGTTCATACTAACGCGGACTGTTTATACAATACTTCCGCAGATTGAAATAAAATAGTTTTAGAAAAAAAATGTATTTTATTCCCATATAAACAAGAAATAAACTCCACTGTGTATTTGATTTGATGCTTTCTGCGGTTATTCTTAGGGTTAGAAATGAAACAGCCAAACAAGTTACCGTAGAAGACAACAAGGTTAAAGTAGCAAACTGTACTGAAAAGCTTTGCTACACATTTTGCATCTCCGTGGAAATGTATTTAAACGTTAAGTCAATGGGTGCAATGAAAGTTTAAAACATGTCATGTTCACACAAAAAGAAATAAAAAAAAACCAGTCAGAGCCTGTGATTGTGCATCACTTTTGTGTACCTGTGGCGAACCAAACCTGAATTTAAACACACTCTTGGGTTGACGTAGGATGAAAATACTACTTTGTCTACAGAGGCTGAGTGCTTGAAGAAGCAAGATACAAGTGGGTGGTTTAAGGTGAGAATACTGAGCTTACTGTAACCTTAACATGAAGTATTCTGTTGCTATTGGTGTACTAACAAATGTATACATACACAGAAAGGTTAGAGGCAACCACTGGACAAGTTTCCTTCCTTGATGACACAGTGTCAATATAAACACTCCTTATATGAGTAATAACTTTCCATCAAGGCCAATTTAAACAATCTTGAAGCATTTTAGGTAAGCCTAGTTCCCAATAATACAGCAGCCTTGGCTATATTTTCCAACTAGCTTTTCCCAGAATGCTTTACCTACAGTCAGGCCAAGGGTTCAGCATCCTGCAGGACAATGACTCTCAGCACACAAGCAAGAAAGAACTGCACAGACATGAACTCTGTGGATGTGAGTCAGAGAAGTTTTATTGTCATTTCAGCTACGTACAAGTACACATTGAAAAGTAACAGCGTTCCTCCAGAGTAAATGGTAAATGGACTGTACTTGTATAGCGCCTTTCTATCTTATCCAGACACTCAAAGCGCTTTACACAACAATCTGTGCCTCATTTACCCATTCATACAGCACTCTACTAGATCTCTACAAAGCTAATTGAACAAATCATTCTAAAGAGAATAATCAGAGCTTTAGATCACATTCATACAACGATGGGACACACATCGGAGGCGATGAGGTGTTCAGTGTCTTGCCCATGGACACTTAGGCATGTGACTGCTGGTGGATTTGAACCCCCAATTCTTGCAATGGAGGACGACTGCTCTAACCACTTGCATTACATGCAAAAGCAATATAATACACAGTGCAGATACACAACAGAACAATAAATGCAAACAGACCTATAATAAAAGCAAAAAGACAGCTAACCTAATCTCAACATTCTAATCTAAACAAGTCATTAAGAGACAAGACTAGAGACGTATGCTGTCACTGAATTAAGGACTTTTTTTTTTTACAATATTTAAAAACTGACCTGAAACTATCTGTCATGACTTCTGACACTGATTGTCCTCTAAAGGACAATCATTGTTCCCTGCAAAGTCAACTACATAAGGGAACAGGATAACTAAGTGTTCTTATCTTATTATACTAATTGTATTTCAGTCCAAGTTGTTTGTATTGGTCATCATCACTACTTCCCTAATTTGAGATTAGTTAAAACGGATTTACCCTTTGTCCTTTTTGCACCAAAGATAAAAAATAAATGTTACTTGAACTAATAAAGTCTGGTTCTGATTTTTGCATTTATGTTTGTGTTTATTTAGTAGGAGATAAATGTGTGAAAAACAGGATAATCCAGTTGATTTGTGGAGGAAATTCTCTAATTGAGTTCAGTTGATCATTGACTTAAGAGTTGACACGAGATAAACAGTTAATAAGTAGTAAGACCAGTTGTTGTCCCGGGTGGGACAGACTATCTTATCTAAACCTGTCAGCTAGCCCTGGTAGCACGTGACTACGGCCAGGGTTAGCCCGCAGGGTTAGCATCTGACCAACTGCTCAAAACACAAACATGTGGTATATGTTCCATACGCTTGACATTTAGTTACACTTTATGTCTCTACGAAAATGAGTTTATAACACCTACGAACAAGTAACACAACTCTAAAGCTAAAAGAGTAACAAGTTGTCAAGCATAAGTTTACATGCCAGTTACTACTTTATCAATCGCTTTGCAAACACCACGCAAACTATCTCGTTGAAGTTTTGTTCCCGTCTCTTAAAAGTTAGTTAAAAGCGCTTTAACTATCTGTTCTTGTCCAAAAACACCGTGTCCTCATCAGTCAACCGCCTCACTCACCACAGATGTGTCCTTCCGCTTGCATTTAGTCCTGTTTTCACTGCAGCTTTTACTCCAAATGTGGTAAGAACTCGTCTGACGAATGAGAAACGCTAACTTTCGTCTTTGGATATGAAAGCCGCATTTTAGCGGCGCCAACATCAGCGCCATGTTGAGGAAGGAGGGAGACGTTTCGTCAACACGCCGGCTACGTCACATCCGGCTTTGGTCAACGAGCGGCGGAGCGTCACAGCTAGCGGGCGATCAGTGGAAGTCGACGCCACGTTTTGGGTTTTTAGTAGTTGTTAAATTGACTTGAACGAAGCTCGGTGCATTCTCTGCGGTGTTTTTTTTTTATGCCTTCTTCGTGTTTTTGTCTTTGTATTAGCCGCGTAAGTCGTGAAAACTAGAGTTTAGGTCAAAAGGAGGAGCACGTTGCCTCCGTTGTCGGACACCGAACGGGGTCAGCAAGTAACAAGAAGCGCGCTAACTAGCTTTAGCACGACAATCACTTCGTCCCAAACTCAGGATGCCATGCCACAATCAGCAACTGAACAATGTAAGCAGCGGCCAAGAGCATCCAATGAAGCAGGTTCGGTTTGCCAACAACAGCAGTAGCAGTGTGCCTGCAGTACTAACCAGCAGCGCCGAACCGGGTGATGGTGTTACTACGCAACAATCTGTCCCTGTCAGCCATGACCACCTGAACCTGGGACCCCAGCTCAAACTGCTTCCTCTGAACGACCAGGTCCGAGAGCTACAGACGATCATCAGAGACAAGTGAGTTCCCACTCCTCTATACTGGCCTTAATGGTCCAGGAGTCGTAGGAAAATGTAGCCAGTTTGGTGTCTCTAAAAGAAAAGAACAGTTGTTTCACCCGGAAACAAAATCATATTGTACATTTACTGGAGATAAGGGTGTGTCTAAGCCACAGACAGGCTGGAAATCAGATAAACAAAGCAACCTTGCAAGTGATAAGGTCTTGGATAGCAAGGCAGGATTAAACTTGCATCTTCACCACAAAATAAAACTTAAAAGGTCACATCATTGTTCATTTTTCATCCAATCTGAACGTTGAACAGTGTTCGTGTGTCCACCTGATGCAACACAGACGTGAGCAACATCTTTTTAATTCGAAAATAAAAATGTGAGACACCAAACTTGGCAGCGGTTGTAGTGTAGGACAAAGCTTGTTCTCATTATCTGGCACAACTAATTGCCATTTACACACAAAACAAATCGAGGTGCGCACGTCCCTAAAAATGTTCATTAGCTTGTCACTATAGCTGCTCTTTGAATGATGCAGGTAGTACCCCAAAACATGCAGGCATGGTACATGAATACTGGTATATTTTTACATCCTAAGGTACAAAGAAAATACAATTGAAGGTAGTGCTGTATTGATATCGGACCAATACCATCCTCAAATACTGGTAGTTGTACAACACTTCAGCCAACACCACTGCTATGCTTGGTGACATCATTTTCTCTTGCACTTCACAAGTAACCAAGGGCAAAAACATAGAAAATGTCAGTTTGGAGATATTTTGAGATAAAACACATTTGATGTTAAGACGTCAGATAATTTGATGTTCTTAATTAAATGAATATTTCTGAAGTCCTTTTGTAATGTTTTAAGTACTAACTCATTAACTACTCTGTATTGGTACTCTGTATCTGCACAAGGGGCGGCTGTGGCTGAGTTCTTAGAGCAGTTGTCCTCCGGGAGGTTTGATTCCACCAGCAGTCACATGCCCAAGTGTCCCTGGGCAAGACACCGAACCCCTAAATGCCTCTGATGTGTTTCCCATCGGTGTATGAATGTGATAAAGTACTGATTAGTCTTTGTACGGAAATAGTAGAGTGCTATATGACTGGGTAAATGAGGGCACAGATTGTAGTGTAAAGCGCTTTGAGTGTCTTGATCAGATAGAAAAGTGCTATAAGTGCAGTCCATTTACCATTTACAAATCCAAGCAGAAGTACTTGTACTTGGCCTTTAAAAAACTAGTATTGGGATACCCCTAATTTAAGGTAATCCAAGGTACCTTTTTACTCTTGTATGTTTTACTGTGTACATGTACCTCTCCCTCCTGTTGTAGCTGTCTGCAATCACTGGGACAGTAGTTGTTTTTTTCCCACAGCTGATTTGAAATAGTCAGGTCTTTGAGCTTCTGCGTATTATTTTGACCCAGCTACTCGTGCTTGACTCATTCTAGTGTTTAGATAATATCTTCCTCTACATCTTTTCTGCTGAGGCTGTTATCAAAGTGCAGTTTAAAAAATATTTGTGCCTGCTTATAGATGGGAGCCATGATCAGCTGACAAATAGGGATGCACCGATCCACTTTTTTTTTTTTCTCACTTCTGATCCGATACCGATCCCTAATGTATGTTATCTGTCGATACCGATCTGATACAGAAAAACTGTGCTGAATTAACAAAAATGGCTAAATCATGTCATCTGGGCCTGTTTCTGAAACAGGTCCAGATGACATGATTTAGCCATTTTTGTTGTCTACCTGGATGTTTGAGCTTACAAACCCAGTGCTGAATTAACTTAAAACATTTGTTTTGTTAAACGCAGACATGAATGTACTGAATTACAAATTCATTGACAACTCTGCACCATAATAACAGCACACTTAAACACACCAAGAGCTTCACAAGCTTGGTCAAACATGTAAACAACACAACTTTAATTTGTTCAGTCAGTACGTTAGCGCGTGACGTCACTCAGAGCACAAAGCATAGAATTAAAGTGAATAGATCTGCCCAGTCATGGATCGGTCACATTGTCACCAATACCCGAGCAAGAAGTTTTTCCGATATCTGTACCGATATCGATGTTGTATCGGATCGGTACATCTCTACTGACAAACATATTTATTGTCTAGTTTTTGTACCCGTCTCAAATGTCAGTACCGAATCATCATGCTACATGCACATGTACCACTACACCCCTAATATTTACATTTACAGATGATGCAGTAATATTAGCAAAGTTTTTAGTTTGATTGTATAACTGGGTGAACAGAACTCCAGTTAAGCTGAGAAAGGACAATATTTAGGATACTGTACATATTACAAAATGATTTAAGTTAATTTAGGGAAAACTCTAAATATTTTTGGTAATTAAGGGTGAAATACCATTTGCTGTCATATATTTCTACTTAAGACATCTAGACCCCAGCTGTTTGAAGCAGATGGCTGCTCATCCTGAGGCTGGTTCTGCTGGAGTTTTCTTCCTGTTAAGAGAGTTTTTCCTTTCCACTGTCTCCTTTGTGCTTGCTCAGGATGGGAGACTGCAACGAAGTGAAGCTTCCAACTCAATCTGCTGGCTTCCTTATAGATAACTTTTACTAAATGCTTTTTTTTTATGTATGTGAATGTTTCTGTTCAGTGCCTTGAGACAACTTCTGTTGTGACTTGGTGCTATATAAATAAACTGAATTGAATTAATTAACAGCTTAGTGTGTTAAAACATTTTGTTTAAACATTTAAGTGTTTTGAGCTTAATGTTACACCCAATCCCCCCAAAAAATATTCAATTTAAAATGTTAAACTGTAAGATTTTAGGTTGAAGTCTAGAAGATCAAAAGTATTGATGAGCATAGACCAACAATCTAGACTCACCTAATCAGGTTTATATTTATATTTTCAGAACAACCAGCAGAGGAGATTTTGTTTTTTGTGCGGACCGACTGGTAAGATTATTTCTGTGCTGCTGCCTAATGAAACTCTGTGTTTATGTTTATAAAGTACACGACTTTGTTTTTCTGTCTATGTGCAATTACAGATCAGACTAGTAGTTGAAGAGGGCTTGAATCAGCTTCCGTTCTCTGAGTGCACTGTGACCACTCCAACAGGTGAGAATCTCTCCTTCATGATAAAGTAAAGTTTGATAATGAAGGTTAAAAAAAAAAAAAAAAAAAAGCTGAGCTCTAAAAGTGAAGCGATTCACACGCAGACTTATATATGCTTGAGTGGGCTTAATGAAAGCAGGTTCTTTTGTGACTGTTCTTGCTTCAATTTTCCCCGCAGGGTACAAGTATGAAGGTGTCAGGTTTGAACGAGGCAACTGTGGAGTCAGCATTATGAGGAGTGGTAAGTTAAAGCTGCTGCAGCACTTCCAGCAAGTTAGACTTTCTTTTTAAGGGCATTTGATGAGTCTTGCTTAAAGAGCTGATCTGCTACTTGTGCTCTGCAGAGCCACACATCTAAATGTAAACTCTCAAGAAGAGTCTATAGTTATGTAGGTATTGAGCTAAAATTTTGTGTGGTAGTAGCCAAGAGTAATATGTAACACACACTTTGTATGCTACTCATAGTGCAAGATTACTTTGGCATTAAATGTTGGAATAAACTCATTTTGCAAAAAAATCTCACGAACCACTGGATGAATATTATTAAAATAGCCAGAAAGTGAACTTTGGATGCATGTCAAAACTTGATTAACCTTTAAAATCTGTCCAAATCAAAGTTGCTGCCACAGTTAATCAACCTTAACCAACAAAAGATGAATGACTCAGTCAATTTTACAGATATTGAGCTAAATTTTGATGAACTAGCTGAATGTCATCTCTGACTCATGCTTTGAGCATTACTCATAAAAAAAAAAACTTAAACTTTTGCCATTAACTTTTGGGTGAGCCATCATCTATTGTGAAAATAATCTTACAAAGCACTAGGCATATTTTATTAAAACTTAAGTTAATCCATAACACATTAGATCTATAACTGATTAACCTTTGGAGTCAATCTAATGGAACTAGTTGATCTTTGCAAACACAAATATGACTATTGTTTAGTGACAATTGTAGATATTGAGCTAAAGTTTGATGTGGTAGTAACTGAGTCATTTACCTCATAGTCTGATGCTAACATGTTGCACAAGCTCTTATCACATGAGACTGTGCATAATGTTATTTTCAAGGTTTGATCAACGGTATATATCCATTATTTCTCATCATTAGTTGATAGTCAAAGGCTCTGTTTACGCAAGAATGATCTCTAGAAACATTAATGTTTTTTAATGTTTATTGTAGCGTTGCCAGATAGGAAATGAAGAAATGTCGTACAGTTGCTTTAAAATTCATGTATGTGGATTAAAGCTATCATAGGTGCAGAGTGTAAATAATAAATGATTAAATAATAATTAAATAATTTCCCTCTGGGATTAATAAAGTATTTTTGAATTTGAATTTGAGTGAGGTGCATTTTCTTGTGTGTTGTTCATGTGGACAGAAAAGGAGGGGGTTCTAAAAGGAGTAATTATAGTATGGTATGGTTTATTTGGCATCACTGAGGTTTCGGTGAAATTCACATGCAGTCGCAACATGAGACAAAGTGGTTTTATTTATCCAAAATGACTACAGGAACCTTTAGTTTGGACTGTGGATGAGGTCCAGCTGCTCCTACATGTTGAAAAGGGTGAACAGCACAAACAGAACTTTGAGCTCAGCTGTTCTGCTGCTCACACAGACACAAAAAAACCTTTTGACTGCAACCACGGGTAGAGCACCCGGCGATTTCACACCTCTGTGGTGGGTCTTCCAAAACCCTCCACTCAGAGACCCAGATTCAGAAACCTTCAGTTCCAGAGGAAACGAGCGCTGTTGTCTTGTGCACAAACAGCTAAATGCTGCAGAAAAGCGATGGTTTCATTTAAAATGTGCATCGTGTAAACAGAGCCTCAAACTGACATGAAAGCAGACCCCTTTAATTTGATCAGTACTAATAAAAAATAACAAACACAGTCGCGTGTAAAGAGACAATCTTTGAATCTCGCAGGTGAGGCCATGGAGCAGGGTCTCCGAGACTGCTGCCGCTCCATCCGCATCGGAAAGATCCTCATCCAGAGTGACGAGGAGACCCAGAAGGCCAAAGTCTACTATGCTAAGTTCCCCCCAGATGTGTACCGAAGAAAAGTGCTGCTCATGTACCCAATTCTCAGTAAGTAAAAGCTGAGCACGCCTTGATTTCCATGTTGACTCCAGTTAACCACCTTCAGTTGCACGTAAATGTCAAGACATGTCTAATTTTGTGCAAATGCGGAAAAAAAAAACATTTTATGTATTTATTAATTCTGAGAAGTCTCACTTGAGCTGACCCTCACCACCAAGTCTGCATTTCCACATCATACAGGCCCATTCACACTGCTCTGATAATTACAGCTCTCATGGGGTAAATTATACACTGCCGAAGAGTTAGCCACCAGGCTGCTGAATGGCATAATGAGGGCCAACAAAAATAGTATCTTAATAGTCCCGGTTTCCTGATGTGATAAAGCTGCATTTTTCTATTCTCACTTTAAAAAAGATGATGGTGGAAGTGCTCGGCTGGAAGCATAGTTTATTATGTCAGAACAGAGGGTTTAATTGATGCACGCTAACATGCTGAACAGTTGAATCAAGACTCACAGTTCACAACATCTGATATATACAGCAGTGCTTGAACGTTTGTGAAGCCTTTTGAATTGTCTATATTTCTACATAAATTTGACCTAAAACATCATCAGATTTTCACACAAGTCCTAAAAGTAGATCAAGAGAACCCAGTTAAACAAATGAGACAAAAATGTTATACTTGGTCATTTATTTATTGAGGAAAATGATCCAATATTACATATTTGTGTGTGACAAAAGTATGTGAACCTTTGCTTTCAGTATCTGGTGTGACCCCCTCCTCCCTCAGCCCGTGCAGCATTAACTGCAACTAAATGTTTCCAGTAACTGTTGATCAGTCCTGCACCAGCTTGGAGGAATTTTTAGTCCATTCCTCTGTACAGAGCAGCTTCAACTCTGGGATGTTGGTGGTTTCAGCACATTAACTGCTGCTTCAAGTCCTTCCACAACATCTGGATTGGATTAAGGTCAGGACTTCGACTTGGCCATTCCAAAACATGAACTTTATTCTTCTTGAACCATTGTTTGGTAGAACGACTCGTGTGTTTAGAATCATTGTCTCGCTGCATGACCCACCTTCTCCTGAGATTCAGTTCATGGACAGATGTTCTGACATTTTCCTTTAGAATTTTCTGACATAATTCAGAATTTATTGTTCCATCAATGATGGCAAGACATCCTGGACCAGATGCAGCCAAACCATGATACTACCACCACCATCTTTCACAGATGGGATAAGGTTCTTATGCAGGAATGCAGTTTTACTTTCTCCAAACTTAAAACTTTCATTTAAACCAAAAAGTTCTATTTTGGTCTCATCCGTCCACAAAACATTCTTCCATCAGCCTTCTGGCTTGTCCACGTGATCTTTAACAAACTGCAGACGAGCATCAAAGTTCTTTTTGGAGAGCAGTGGCTTTCTCCTTCAACCCTGCCATTGTTGTTCAAGTTCTCCTGATGGTGGACTCATGAACATGAACATTAGTCAATGTGAGAGAGACCTTCAGTTGTTAGAAGTTACCCTGGGGTCCTCTGTGACCTCTTGGAGTGATCTTTGTTGGTCCACCACTCCTGGGGAGGTTAACAATGGTCTTGAATTTCCTCCATTTGTACACAATCTGTCTGACTGTGGATTGGTGGAGTCCAAACTGTTTTGAGATGGTTTTTAACCGTTTCCAGCCTGACAAGCATCAACAACTCTTTTTCAGAGTTCCTCAGAAATCTCCTTTTTTCCTGTCATGATCCACTTCCACAAACATGTTGTGAAGATCAGACTTTGATAGATCCCTGTTCTTTAAATCAAACAGGGTGTCCAATCGCACCTGATCATCATTCCTAGGCCTTTTGCAATAAACAAATCAATTAATCACATGATAAATGAAAATTATTGAACTCATCTTCATTTATCAGCTTTATCGTTTCATCGTGTCTCTCTTTCTATTACTAAGCTGAGAAGCTACGAGCTAAGCTAACAGGCCAACCTCGGGGGGAAAAAAACTCCGTCTTGTCGAAGCTCCAAAATTCACGGTTGAAACCAGTGCTTTTTATAAAAAGTTTTTTTGTTTTTTTTTTCTGCAAAAAGAAGCTGAGAACTTGTTTGCTGATTTTTTTAATTAAAAGCTTTGTGTGAAAAATGCTATGCTAAAGAGCTCAAACCACACCGAGCGTCCACCATTTTGAGAACCGAAGAGAAACAGCCTATGACACATCAAGGGGCCTCTCTCCCATTTGTCTTAAAGACACATGCTGCTCGCTCCCTCACTATCCATCCGTCGGTTCAAACAGTCTTATACTACCATCCGGTGGTTGAAAAAAGTTGCATGCAAAACAAATTAACAAACATTTCCTCTTAAATTTGCCAATAATTACTAATTATTGTCAAATTTCAAACAATATTATCGTTTATCGCAATAATTTCAGAAACAATCACCCAGCAAACTTTGTTATGGTGACAGACCTACTCATCCCATTGATTGAAAACACCTGACTCTAATTTCACCTTCAAATTAATTGCTAATCCAGAGGTTCAAATACGTTTGCCACTCACAAATATGTAATATTAGATAATTTTCCTCAATAAATCAATGACCAATTATAATATTTTTGTCTCGTTTGTTTATCAATTTTTAGGACGTGTGTGAAAATCTGATGTTTTAGGTCACATTTATGCAAAAATATAGAAAATTCTAAAGGCTTCACAAACTTTAACTTTTTAACTCATCTTTTTATATAATCCTGATTCAGCGTGTTTTAAGTGAATATAGAGATTAGTTCTCAGTTTAAAGGGACTTTGTAAGCAGAGGGAAGTGAAGCACACGTCTAACTCTACATTTTCTGTTTGTGCAGGTACAGGGAACACCGTGATCGAGGCGGTGAGGGTGCTGATAGAACATGGAGTTCAGCCCAGACATATTATCCTCCTCAGCCTCTTCTCCACTCCGCACGGTATGCCAGCTCACAACTTCAGATCAAGTTTTCTTTTTGTTTATGCATGGCTGTCTGTTAACCAAACACCTCATGAACCACTGGATGAATTTTCACGAAATTAGAGAGTACAGTTAATCTGATTCAAAATGGCTACCACAGCCTTCAAAAAAGAACATTTAAAAAATGGATATAACTATTTACAGATGCATATCTAACATTTGGTGTGGTAGGAACTGAGTCTGATCTCAAACATATATTCTGAGTGCTAACAGTTTGTGCAATATCTTCATTTCAAATGAGGACAAATAACTTCTTGGAGTCAACGCAGTCTGTTATCATATGAAAGAAACACTGGACTGATTTTAATGAAACTTTCAGGAAGTAAATATTGGATATAGATCTACAACAGATTATTTTTTTGAGCAAACTCAATTCAAGATGGACTTCAAATTTATAAAAACTGAGCTAATTTAATGTGGTAAAAACTGAGTCACTCTTATCGCCTTTATTACCGTTCTTCTTTGTTGAGGCTGCTAATCTTATCAGATTAATTTATTTATTACAAGTATGAAGTTTTCTCAGCATTAAGCGCCCATTTAAATAGTTTTAGTAGTTGCTGGATAATTATGAAGCTGCCTGGTAGATTCTCACCAATAACTACATGACCAGATAACTGTGACATTTAATGAATGTTCGAGGTTTCCCTGAAAAGGATTTTTTTTTTAACTGTGACCTTTCTTGCGGTGAATCTGTCAGGTTAAAATATACACTTTCAACACAAGATAGATTTAAATCTGAAGGGCATGTTGCCATAAAATGCACTTTATAATTCAGTGTTTTCAAAAGGATCAAGGTTCTTATGCTTTTTTTTTTTTTTTAAGGTTGTTCTTCACACTTTTGGATGCCTTTCTGTAATGGCGTCAGATTAGGCAGGATAAGGAAGATATGGGGGAAACGGCAGCATAAGATCTGCTGCAAGTCAAACCAGTCTTATTGTTTAGACTGTACACTGCCAGACTTATTCCTCATATATTATAAGGACCTCCTATAAAGTACAGTGAGGAAAGTAAGTATTTGAACACCCTGCGACTTTGCAAGTTCTTCCACTTAGAAATCATGGAGGGGTCTGAAATTTTCATCTTAGGTGCATGTCCACTGTGAGAGACATAATATTTAAAATAAATCCGGAAATCACAATGTATGATTTTTTTTAAATAATTTATTTGTGTGTTACTGCTGCAAATAAGTATTTGAACACCTGTGAAAATCAATGTTAATATTTGGTACAGTAGTCTTTGTTTGCAGTTACAGAGGTCAAGTGTTTCCTGTAGTGTTTCACCAGGTGTGCTCACACTGCAGCAGAGATTCTGGTCCATTCCTCCACACAGATCTTCTCTAGATCAGCCAGGTTTCTGGGATGTCTCTGAGAAACATGGAGTTTGGGCTCCCTCCAAATATTTTCTATAAGGTTTAAGTCTGGAGACTGGCTAGGCCACTCCAGAACCTTGATGTGCTTCTTACGGAGCCACTCCTTGGTTCTCCTGGCTGTGTGCTTCATTGTCATGTTGGAAGGCCCAGCCACGACCCATCTTCAATGTTCTGAGGGAAGGAGGTTGTTCCCCAAAATCTCACAATACATGGCCCCGGTCATCCTCTCCTTAATACAGTGCAGTCGTCCTGTCCCATGTGCAGAAAAACACCCCCAAAGCATGATGCTTCCACCCCCATGCTTCACAGTAGGGATGGTGTTTTTGGATCATTCTTCGTCCTCCAAACACAGCGAGTGGGATTACGACCAAAAACTTCTATTTTGGTCTCATCTGACCACATGACTTTCTCCCATGACTCCTCTGGATCATCCAAATGGTCATGGTCAAACTTAAGACGGGCCTGGACGTGTGCTGATTTAAGCAGGGGAACCTTCGGTGCCACGCATGATTTTAAACTATGACGTCTTAGGGTATTACCCACAGTAACCATGGAAACAGTGGTGCCAGCTCTCTTCAGGTCATTGACCAGCTCCTCCCATAGTTCTGGGCTGATTCCTCACCTTTCTTAGGATCATTGATACGCCACGAGGTGAGATCTTGCATGGAGCCCCAGTCCGAGGGAGATTGACAGTCATGTTTAGATTCTTCCATTTTCTAATAATTGCTCCAACAGTTGATCTTTTTTCACCAAGCTGTTTGGCAATTGCCCCGTAGCTCTTTCCAGCTTTGTGGAGGTCTACAGTTTTGTCTCTGGTGTCTTTGGACAGCTCTTTGGTCTTAGCCATGTTAGTAGTTGGAGTCTCACTGATTATGCGGGGTGGACATGTGTCTTTATGCAGCTACCGACCTCAAACAGCTGCTTCTAATGTAGAATAGTCAGTGGAGGTGGAGTTTTAGAGGACTAACAGGTCTTTGAGGACCAGAACTGTTGCTGATTGGCAGATGTTCTAATGCTTATTTGCAGCAGTAACACACAAATAAATTATTTTAAAAAATCATACAGTGATTTACAGATTTTTTTTTTTTTTTTAGATTATGTCTCTCACAGTGGACATGCACCTAAGATGAAACTTTCAGACCCCTCCATGATTTCAAAGTTGGAAAACTTGCAAAGTCGCAGGGTGTTCAAATACTTGTTTTCCTCACTGTAACTTGTGAATTTAAAGATCTAGGCTTCTATTGTAGAGCAGATTAAACATATTTTGGGTAAAATTAAATTATATGAATTAAATAAATCTTACTAAGCAGCACAGTATCACAAAACTGGTTATTTTGGGGACAACACTATTCATGCCAACATTAAAGATTTACAACTTACAGAAGTCCATTGTTTATTCACTCTTGCAATGTTCTAAACTCTTAATTCTACTAATTTTAATAACATACTTATATGTATCTACAAAATTTTACTCACTAGTTCTTCAGAACAGCAGCAGCTCGGTTCCGGTCCGACTCTGTTCCGTTTCTGCAGACCTACTCTGCCGGTTCTGGTCAGCTCTCTGGCTCGAGATAGTGGCGGTGGGCTCCGGATGGGATGTGGGACCGGTGGTCCGACTGAGTGGTCCAAGAGATGAAAAAAGTCCCGCTGGGCTCTGGATGGAGTGCCAGACCTTCAGCGGCATGCGTCCCGCTCGGAAGTTCTCACAGGCCGGCTACCAGCTCTCAAAATTCACCAATGGGTCTGGAGGTCCTGTAGGCGCCGAAGTGACTGTAATAAGCGCCAAACTTTTTCCGATCAGATCAAAACTTTCCCTCTAGTATTTCAGCAGAAGGCACTGGGGCTTCTGGGAAATGTAGTCCTTATGAGCAGCGATACAGTGTAGGCTTATTGAGAGAAAACTACAAAATGGCAGTGCCTGTCCGAAGTATTTTATTGTTTCTGCAACTTTTTACTGTACAGTATCCCATACTGTCCCAATCACATGAGTAATATTAAAGTTGACAATCGTGTGACCTGTACAGTTCTCTTTTTTTTTTCACGTGTTCAATCTTACCGGTACTTTGAAAAACCACAAGTCCGCGAAAGTTGAACCGCAAAGTATCGAGGGACTACTGTATTGCTGAAATCTGAGGCCTCTGAGATGATTTTTACTTGTTAGTCATCAGTGAACATCTGTGATTTATGGGAAGCAGATAACCATTTACATATTTCCTTCTAGTTCAAGTTTCTCTTTTTTTTTCTTAATACTGGCAGTGTACAACATATTTAAGTTTAAAAACTTAAAAGTAAACCAGCGTTTTTCTCTTTTAGGAGCCAAATCTATAATCCAGGAATTCCCAGAGATCACCATCTTGACCACAGAGGTGCACCCAGTCGCTCCAACACATTTTGGACAGAGATACTTCGGCACGGACTGAAATGAGGAATACCTGAGGAACACGATCAGCAAAGTGTTTTGGCTTTATCTTGGATCTCATGTTCTCCTTGTTGTGCCACGTACTGCTACTTAACTTACGTTTCGAAAGTGAATCCAAATCAATAATCATACTGTTTGTATTTATTGCTTTTTGCCATTTGTGTGTAGAGAGAAAACCACAAAGATGAAAATGTGGATCGTTTTATTTTGCATGTTAACCAGTGGATCAATAAAGAATTTATTTGTTTACAGAGAAGACGTGTTGAGGTTTTTCTGCTGGGTCTGAAGTGGTAAAAAGGGGGAAGCACCACAATCATCATACTCCAAACACAGTTCAATAACATGCTATATATTAGCTTGTCTGTCGGCTGGGTTAAACAGTCCTATGCTCTTTGTATCCTATATTTTTAATAAAAGTACTTCAGTTGTTTAAAGTGTTACAGAAGGATCAAAATATACAGACTGCCTGCAGCAGGTAAAAATTATCAACACATGGGAAAAAATCTGAACATTATCAAAATAAATAGGACAATATGAACCGCCCAACACTGACAGGATTTCTAACCTTTTACTCTACACATCTCAAATAGAAAAGTTTAAAACGATTTCTCTGACTTCAGCAGCGTTTGATTTGGCTTATCCAACAAAATATAGAAATAAAGCATGGTTAAACTTTTTAAAACTATCCCAATCAAGTAGTATAACATTTTTGATTATAGGACAAACATACTCATAATGATCAGAAACTGGTTAAATACACAAACTGAAAAGTACTGATGAGTAGAATATTTTTCTATGATATTAAACATTTAGCAATACATAAGCACAAATAAAAAAAAAACAATATACTGCAGATGATTCCTGTCCTCTTCCATCCAGTAGACGAGGATCAGTTTTATAAATATGTACAGTTTTAGAACGGGGGTCAGCTGATATGATAGAAAACATGATATAATATAATGAGCTTAACCCAGACTTAAAATCAACCTTATCACTGCATGTTTTACTTGGTAAATGAGCAAACAGCATTTAGGTCTTATTATACAGTATATTAAGAATACTACTTTACTAAAAAGTGAAGAAAAAAGCATTAAGTTTTCATAAATGTTAGTTTTTCTGGTTATTGCCACTTGACTGATCAGATCTGTTAAACTATAAGATGTTAAAATACTGCATTAAACCAGGATTATAAGATTTCAGCAACTGTCCAAAGTGTCAACACGATGCGTTCGCAGGTTGGATACATTCTCAGGAGAAAACACACCCAGCGTAAAGAAATACTCAAGTAAGGCATTTTCTAATGTGTTCATGTTCAATGCAAAAACTAAAAGTCTGTTTATTATTTATTAAGTTTAAAGTTTATCAGTTTAAACACCACACTGTAAAAACAGAGTGACACTCTAAAGTCAACTCTGAAACTGGCATGAACATGAAGAGATGTTTCCACTTTCTCAGCTACATAAATTATCACAAAAAAAACATTAAATGCATTTTTTAGATGAGGTATTGGTTGAATTATTTTTCATAATAAAACTAATAATTCATCTTTAAGGAAAGGTTACGTTTATGCTGGTTATCCATCGAGTTTCTTCGTTCATCATGATCTCAAACGTCAGGGGAAAATTGGCAAACGTGATCCAAATGCAGGCTGTAAGCCTCTTGATTCGCCGCCTCCAGCGTCCCACGTGGAATGCATTCACTTCATGGTTACACAGTATGTGCGATAAAAGTTTACATCCTCTGTACAAGTAGTAATTATTCCTCCATCTCTATGGTAACGGAGGGGTCGATATCCTCGACTGCAATGAGAGAATTAATTTCAGATGAAAAATAGTGATACCCTTTGTTGCAGGTTTTGAATCGGGTGGTTGAGGATTTGCTTCATGTGACCACCAGGTGGCAGCAAAACATCAAGATGACGAGAGAACACAGTTACTGACAACAGAAATGTATAGCAGCATGGAGAAAGTCTTTAAATTCAAATATCACCAATGTATCCAACTACACATATAAGAGGATACGGATAGTGCTATATGTATACTGAGTGAATAATGACAAATAAAACTCGCTGAAGAACCTGAAACTGAGCTGTTAAAGCTAAAAAGAGGCAACAGACTGCGTAAAAACCCAATGGCTAGCAAAAAAACAAAAGAAGCAAAAGGCTGGCAAAAAGTAGATAAGTAAAAAAGTACCAAAGCATCAGCTAAAACATAAGTAGCACAAAAGTAGCAAACGGCTTGCTAAAAGCTAAAAGTAGCAAAAGGCAGGTACAAGTTCAAAGTAACAAAAACCAAGCTTAAAGCAAAAAAGATACGCTAAAAGCAGCAGAACGTAGCTAGAACCTAATGGTAAACACTAAAAACAAGTAAAAGGTTGACTAAAAGCTAAAAAGAGCAGTATAGTAGCTAAAAGTTAAAGTAGCACAAGACAAGCTAAAAGTTAATTAAGCAGACAAAATGACCTGTCAAAACATGTGCTGAAACAGATTTCAAACTAAATGTTTTTGAAGGAATTCAAGAGATAAAAAGTACAAACGGTACAAAAGTCATAGCACCTATCTCCTGAGTGAGTTGAATGTTTTGATATATAAGCGGCTAAAAGAGCACAAAGTACAAAGAAAAACACAAAAACAATTTTAAAGAATGTCATGACTGCATTTAAGTAATGACACACTTTCTAAGACAAAAAAATAAATAAATCTGCCAAAACCTTGAAGGAAAATGTTTGTATTTATAGTAACCCTGACTGTTCTTCTTCACGGCTGTATTTCTTAATTGGTCAATTAATGGACTTTATGTTGTGGCAAAACTCCACACTTGTAATATTCACAAAAGTTAGACGTACAAGATTCAACTACTTAGAAACATCAAACCAGTTTATCCTGTTGGTAAAACTGTTGTCTAAATTATTTTCTACTCGGCTCCGAGCTAACTTGTGAATTGGCCCTATATAAATAAACTGAACTCAGTTAAATACACTGCAAACAATATATTTATGGGAATTTAAATTAATTATTTCACAGACTCTACAGTCTATATGGGCTTCAGGTTAATTCATATTTTAGCTTTGGTCACTGCGCACTCATGCTTTCATTGGTACCAAAAGATGGCTGCCTGCCCATGGTCTCTTCATGTCCTCCTTGGCAGCGGCCCCAAAGTTGATTTAATCTACCCGACTATTAGTATTAGTAGCTCAAGCTGCTGCCCCCGCAACCTGACTCCAGAACTAGTGGAAGATAATGGATTAACTACTAGTATTATTACCTTCTGTAATTTCAGGGTAGGCAGGTGTTTGCCAAATCCCTAGCGCTGTCCTCTAACCCTTAATCCAAACCCATAACACATTTTCCTGACATCTAACCCAAACCTTACCTTAACCCTCAACAAAGACACAGAAATACATGGTGGTAAGTGCACAAGTAAGAAATGGCACCTGTTGTTGGCAACCACTAAGTACAAGGTGGAGACACAAAATGAATAACTATAATCTCTGTGGGTGTAAACAACAAAATGTAGGCAAACTTACCCAAGCTTCCTTCTTCAGACCCATTATCTGACTCCTCCCACATGTCCTCATTAGCTAACAAGGGGTTGTGAGATTCAGAACTCTGACTCCTTACAGGGAAGTAGTGGCCGTTCCCTTGGCTGCCATTAAAATAAGCAAAAGCAAATAGAGGTTAATTGATTTGAAGCCCGTTACCCGTTTCCAGTTCTTTAACATGTTTTAGTTTCAGTGTGGCAGCACGGTGGCGCAACTGGTAGAGGTCAGGTCCCTGGTTCAAACCCCGGTCCAGGTGCCTTCTGAGTGGAGTTTGTATGTTCTCTCCGTGCATGCGTGGGTTTTCTCCGGGTACTCCGGTTTCCTCCCACAGACCAAAAACATGCATGTTAGGCTGATTGGTAACTCTAAATCGTCCCTAGGTGTGAGTGAGAGAGTGAATGGTTGTTTGTCTCTGTGTCCCTGTGATGGACTTGCGACCTGTCCAGGGTGTACCCCGCCCCTCGCACAGTGATTGCTGGACATGGGCACCAGCGACCCCCGTGACCCAAAATGGAATAAACGGGTCAAGAAAATGGATGGATGGATAGTTTCAGTGTTGGCACAACTGTTTAACCATTGTCCTATAATTCCTATATTTGGATTATTATCACCGCCTCCAAAAGGCTCACTGCTATAACGTGTTTGCCCATGTGTGTATTTGTCATATTAGCAAAATATGTCATAAGTCCCTAGATGTACAGTATTCTAATATTAGATGTACATCTAGAATGGTAAATGGACTGTACTTATATAGCACTCTACTATATTTCTACAAAGCTAATCTGAATCTGTAGAGACTAATCAGTGATTTAGATCACATTCACACAATGGAGGCAATGAGGGGTTCAGTCTTTCCCAGAGACACTTCAACATGTGAAGTGGTGGAATCGAACCCCCTATTCTCCCATTGGAGGACGACTGCTCTAACCACTCAGCCACAGATGCCGTGTGACAAACTTCTGGATTCAACCCAGTTCAATACAGCCACCACAGCTAATAAATCTTAGCAAACACGAAATAGCTATAACTCAGTCATATATCCGTCCCTCAAAGGAAAGATAGGCCATCCATTTAATTTTCTAACAATACTTTGCACAACTCTAATGAAAACTTTATGCCTTTGATTCCTTGACTGAAAACTCACCCTGTAAAAACGGGGATGAACCACAGTCTCTTATCTTCTCCAAATACTTGCTGCAGGTTTTTGCGTAGTCCAACATTAAACCCATTTCTGTCTGGTCCGCTGACAAAAACTGGAGCTGAAAAGGCCTCTGGAAAAAAAAAAAAAAAAAGAGTTGTGGGTCAGAATATGCTTTCATCGCACAACTTTGCAGGGTTTTGTGTTTGTTATTGGTTTTTCCTTTAAGTTCAGAAAACAGAAAGTGCATCAGTTGAATGTCTGCGAGGTTAAATAAAAACAACTCTCACCTAAAGTGGATCTGTTCTTGGCAACCAACCAGCAGTGGTAGCCAAAGAGAAACATAAGACTGACAAAAAACATGAGCGCCACAAACATGAGGAAGAGGATGTGGAACTTAGCAGGTCTATTTGGCAAGTCTCCCTGTAAAAAAAAAAAAAAAAAAAAACTAAGATCAGAAAATCAAGGGTTTTACAAAAAAAGTTACAATAACCTTTGACCTCTGTTATCAATACATTTGTGCAAACATGCAGTGATATTGCTCTGTCGGTTGTTGAAAGGAGGAATGATGACACTTACCACCCAAAACTTGAGGAAATACTGAAAAACTGTTGCTGCAATGAATACGCAGTACAGCATGGAGAACGCAAGAAAAAGAAGGAAATACTTGTAGTTGGAAAAACCAACGCAGTTGTTAACCCTGAGAGGAAAAAGAAACCCTAATGGTCAGAGCATGGTCTACAGATCAATCAGTTAAACTTTAAAATATAGGCTAACTTACCAGGGACAGTGATGGTCCATCTTCAAGACACAACTTAAAGAAAAAAGCAACACATTAAACTACATGATCTTGAGATCCCAACATTTAAAGTCAATGCATTGTAGTTTTTTTTAAATAACAAATGCTGAATGAGTTTTAATGAGGCTCTGTTCATCTGGTGTTTTTCACATCATAATAATCTATCAAAACTGTAACTAGCGTATACTATACCATCATACTATACCAACACTGGTTTGTCGTCATTATCTGCATCGTATTTATGTCTATATTTCTGATTTACTTCATTTTGTATTTTGCTTTGTGTGTTACCTGTTGTTCTGTCTGTACAGCACTTTGGTTGGCCTTGTCACTGTTTTAAGTGCTCTATAAATAAAATGGTACGGTATGGAATCGTAAAACAATCTGCTTTATAGTCCAACTTTTTTTTTCCTGATGTATTCTGCAATCAGTTTTCTTTTTGACAACGAGCTGCACGGATTTGTCCTGAGGATCTTTGCTCCAAGAGACAACTACCGGTATTTCTAATGATCACGAGTTCCAGCCTGCAACATTACTTCTTGCCTGGGGCGAGCCCACTTAGGTGAATGTATTGGGGTAAAAAGTAAGGCTTACGTTTCACAAACGGAGCAGTGGTGACAGCGGTCAGGCTTCAGCACCTGGCAGCGGTCACAGAACCTGATAGCTGGAGACAAGAACATTTCTAGTTGAATGGATGATATTTGAGCTGAGCATCACCTTCACACACTTCCTGTGGCTTAGAGTTCACATTTAGCAATCAGCACTAATGAAAAGATCACATTGGCTGATTACTCTGGATTTGGACGCTCAGGAGAGCACACAGCTAATTGCACTACTTCATTTCACCACACATGCAATGTGATGAATTGTGACAAAAGCCCCAGAGTTTGACATCTTTGATCGTCTTGTGGGGAACTCACCTCCTGATTGAGCTCGGGTGAAAATGGGAAGTTTTCTTGCTATATCAACAAGGATTTGTTTCTGAGCATCTGGTCTCTCCTCCATCTCGTATCGTTGCTTGTCGGAGTATGACAACTGAAACTAAACCAAAAACATTATACCACAACCTCAGTGTATGCCCAAAGCAAATCACAGTCATTATTTGTTTTCATGCCGTCAAATTTTAATTTCCATGTACCTTTTTACATGGTGTAGCAGGAGGAGTAAAGATGGACTTCCAGTAGGTCCAGGAGAACATCGCAAAGCAGACATGAAACACCAGTAAATAAACCACTGCGAGCACAAAATAATAAAAACAACCATGACAGGGGTTAAATTTATAGTTTGAATGTTCATACTGCTTGGACTAAAAAACATAAGGAAGGTAGCTTACCTTTTTCCAATGCATTAGGGATGGTAACTGTCAAAACAGGAACAATAAAGTCGTTTAAAGTAGCTGGAAGCTAACAGAAGTCCAATTCCTCAAAATAAGCTAACACAACTAGCCAGGCTGTATTTTTGTATTAAAACACAATAAACGCTGGCCTCTTTTTCACAATAAGTAATACATTTATAAAAATTAACTTCAATAAAGCGCAAATTTTTGAAGCCACTTCCGCCTTTTTTTTTTTTTTTTTTAGCTCCAGCTCTGTGTCTCAATAACGTTATTGTTGTTTAACGCTGCAGCGCGCGATGTGAGGAAACAAAAGACAAATACAGTCCGTCACACTCACCGAGGCATAGCTCGAAGACATAAGCATAGTAGGACCACAACACGACGGCTGTGATAATAAGAACAGGGATCCAAGAGAAAACCCTCTGACAGCATCGCAATCCTCTGGAGAGAGCCATGTTCCATCATTCATTCACTCTTATCGGCGCTCCATTACTATTCCTGGGCTTCGCCCATCTGCGACATCTGGGATCGATTTACCGCACACTGAGCTGAAAGAGCAGGTACATCAACTACAACTCATTCTTTACATACAATTTCTGCTTGTTTTGGTTTTGAATGAAACCCAAATGACGAAAATATTTACGTAAGTATTCTTAATACACTAGTTGAAATTATATAAATAGTTTAGGAATGAGAATAGCTGATCATTTAGCAAATAATTCAATAATATATGGAAGTAAATGCCTTCTACACAATAAATACTCAAACACTGTCCATTTTATAATTATGTCTTTGAAAGTCATAATTATAAAATGCACATTCGTAAATATGAGTTTTAAAGTTATTTATAATCAAGAAATACAAATTATGAGATTTCTATTTCACAATTATGACTTTTAAAGTCTTTATTCAGATTTTGTATTTGATTATTTTATGACTGTGAAAGTCATAAAGATGATGTTGAAGCTCACAATTATGACAGCATTTGCTTTTTCAGTGGTGAAAATGAGCTACAATATAAAATAATTAATATCAAATCATAATTGGTCATATTTATAGTAAGAAAGAGCTTCCAGATGACAGGGCTACCACATCAATAGTAACTAGAGAGACAGGTAGGAAGGTTCTGTGTCATATGGACAAAGAAAAGATGATAAGGAAACCTGGTGGAAGAGTGAAGCGCAGGAAGCTATTCAGAGAAAGATGTTAGCCAAGAAGAATTATGACATTGAGAGGACTGAAGAGAGGAGACAGGAATATAAGGAGATGCAACTCAGAGCAAAAAGGGAGGTAGCTAAGGCAAAGCAGAAGGCATATGATGAGTTGTATGGGAGGCTGAACACTAAACAGGGTGAGAAGGACTTGTACCGATTGGCACAACAGAGGGATCAGGCTGGAAAGGATGTGCAGATGGTTAGCTTAAATAAAAATAGGAATGGTAATGTTATAAGAAGTGAGGAGAACGTGAAGGGAAGATGGAAGGTGTACTTTGAGGAGCTCATGAATGAAGAGAATGAAAGGGAAAGAGGAGTAGAGGTCATAGAAACTGTGGACCAGGAAGTGGGAAAGATTAGTGAGGGTGAAGTTCAGAAACCTCAGAAAAGAATGAAGAAGGAGAAGGTAGTAGGACCTGAGGACATACCCATGGAGGTTTTGAAATGTCTTGGAGAGATGGCAGTGAGGTTTTTGACTCAAATATTCAATGGCATATTTGAAGGAGAGAAAATTCCTGAGGAATGGAGAAGAAGTGTGCTGGTGCCCATTTTTAAGAACAAGGGTGATGTACAGAGTTATAGCAACTACAGGGGAATTAAGTTGAGCCACAAAATTAAGATCTGGGAGAGAGTTGTGGAAGCAAGACTTAGACGAGAGGTGACTATCTGTGAGCAGCAGTATGTTTTCATGCCAAGAAAGAGCACCACATATGACATCTTTGCTTTGAGGATGCTGATGGAAAAGTACAGAGAGGGTCAGAAAGAACTTCATTGTGTCTTTGTGGATTTAGAAAAACATATGACAGAGTGCTGAGGGAGGAGGTGTGTTATTGCATGAGGAAATCTGGAGTGGCAGAGAAGTATGTTAGACTGGTACAGGACATGAGGATGAGGACAGCAGGACAGTGGTGAGATGTGCTGAGTGACAGAAAGCTTCAAGGTGGAGGTGGGATTGTATCAAGGATCAGTTCTGAGCCCCTTCTTGTTTGTTTTTGTGATGGACCGACTAACAGATGAGGTCAGGTAAGAATCCCTGTGGACTATGATGTTTGCAGATGACGTGATCTGTGGTGAGAACAGGGAACAGGTGAAAGAGAACTTGGAGAGGTGAAGGTATGCACTTGCAAGAAGAGGAATGCATTTACCTAAAAAAAAAACTGTGAGTAAATGGAGCTTACTGTTCCTGTTGATTGTCCAACTACAGTGATTTATTGTCACATTTATTGAAAAAACAATATTTTAAAATTTTTTAGCCTTAAATGAAAACAGGCATTTAGTTTAAATGTATTTAACTTGTGTACTTTGCAGGACTTTCCAACAGGGGGCGATGTGAGACCTTTTGAAAAGCAGTAATTTGAAGCTTGGTCAACTCAGACCCACAATCTGAGCATCTTCTAACTAACACATCGTTTCCTGATTGAGTTTGGACTTTGTAGCATCTTTTTAACTTGCTGTTTAAATGTTGATATTTTCATTAAAAACTGAAGCTAAGTGACAGTGAACATCAAAAAGTTAAAATCTTTTAAAGTGCAGGTTGTGAACAGTTAATATCTTACCTGTTCTCGATAGCTCTTTGAACGGCATCAGTTTGGAGAAATAGAGTTTAATTCTGACTAGATTGACGAGGTAATGGCGAGTTCAAATGGACTGAAGACCAAAGTGAACAGCTGGCATCTTGAAACAACTCAAATATTTAAAGTTCGTAGTAGTTTATGAAAAAGTCATTTAAAAAAATCTTTACACTGTCGTCAATTTTGCAAACAGCTTCCAACACTTTTGGCTCTAACAACAGGAATTTCTTTCTTTTTTTCCTTTTATTTGTTTTTTTTTGGCTGGGGGGTGTCAGTCCAGTCAAAATTAAACTCTGTTTTTCCAAACTGAGGTTGTTTGAGGTTGTGTATATTTAGTTGATGTTTTTCTTAGTTCATATCTTAAATCTTATTACTGTTTTTCTTTTACATTTTATTGTTGGATGTAACTGGGACCCTGTGTACATAATTTCGTTCCACCACATGTACCACATGGGGTGCGAATGACAAATAAAGAACCTTGAATCCTTAAAGAGCAACAAAAATAGCACGTTGATCATTTACAACCTTACCATGAAACTATGGTATATGGTTTAATGAGGTTGCATTTAAACTACGCTTAGCAAGGCCTGAAATATCCCTTTTATTATATCTGATTAACTCAAGTAATTAAGAGTTGTTTGAGCACATATTTGTGTTTTTGTGGCTCTCAAAATTTGCACAATCAGAAAGAGGAGAAAATTGCAAATGTCACTTAACGCTCTTTCATAAAACACTTCCTCAGAATGGGGTGAATAGACCAGTCCATCTTATTCTTCCTTCTGACACAGATTAAGCCGACCACTTCCTGCACAGATGTGAGCTTTCAGAAATGAAGCGAGTAGTGTGGAACCAAAAGAGGCGTGGAGCAAAACTCAGCTGGGTTGACATGGAGCGCAGCATATAAAATGCTATGTGTGGTCATCATTGTATGTGCCCATACAAAGATGAAATTGGCTCTCTGCATTTAACCCATCGCACCTGGGATACACCCAGGTGAAGCAGTGGGTAGCTATAAGTGCCCGGGGAGCAATTCGGGATTAGGTGTTCTGCTCAGAGACACCACGAGATGTGCAATGACCCAGGACCTTCTGGTCCCGAGTCGGCTGCCCTACCCCTACACCATCTCAGATCAAACATGTAAAACGGATGTCTCCCTCATATCATTTACATAACTTCTGATTTAATTGACTTTAGTGATCCTGCTTGTGGTTTACTATTTTAAAACCAACTACAAAATTGCTGTATTGTTATCATCAATATTCCCTCAGTAATAAATATGTTTGTTGTTGTTTAATCCTGAAACCAAGTGGTCACACACTATTGTCATCACTTTGTCACTGTACTGAGTGGCAGCACTGGCTTATTTACAGTTCATGTTTAACCCTGTTACTATCCATTTCCATTCATCTCTGGGCCAAGATGGTGTAGAGGTAGGGCAGCTGACTTGGGACCAGAAAGTTGCGGTTCAGTTCCCCGCCATGCCCACATGTCATGGTGTCCTTGAGTAAGATACCCAATCCCTAATTGCTTCCCGGGTGCTTACATAGCTTCCCACTGTTCCACCTGGGTATATCTCGCGTGTGATGGGTTAAATGCAAATAACTAATTTTGCCATTGTATGGGAACATACAGTGATGACAATCTCAAACGTCCCTTCCCTTACTACCTTGCTCTGCGGCACAGAGACACACCAGATGTAGACTGGCCTCGACCCCCTCTCGCCGCCTCAGTCCATTCAGAAGTAACACCGGGGCAGCCAGAAGGCATTTCCGTCCCAGACTGAGGTTGTTTAGGAGCTTTTAGATCATCTTAGCCTACAGTTTTTTAATACCTATCCCTAATGTGTCCCTCAGACTCTTTTGTATCCTCTTTTTGCTTTTGCAGTATATGGCCTTTCGTCATCCTCTGACATTTTCTGTCTAGAACAATACGTAAAGACAAGTGTAACTGTCTCCCCATTACTGAACATTGTGAAACTCCATAGCCTTCGTGTTCTCCAGTAGACCACCTGCCTTTCCAGGGTTACATCATGTAGCAGACACCTCTTGTGCAGTGCCTTCTGGGACAAGGGTGTGAGGTGAGCTGCGCCCAAAACTAACCTCTAACATAACACGTGTTCCCCTCTCTCGTTCACTGTCTGAGTTCTCTCCCCTCATATCTTCTCCCACTTCAACACATTCAGACTCCACCACCCCGCCTTCTCCTCCCCTTCAAGCCACGGTGTCGGCACCCGGGCGATGACAGCTTCTCTCTCACTCAAGCGCTCACTGGAGGCAGGGAGCGGCAATCCATCCGTCAGCACGCCTGCAAACCCCTCCGCTACAAACTCATTGTGACTAGCAAAATAGTAACGGCCTTTTAATCAAAACATTTACACCGGCGTGGAAGTAAAACACAAACAGCTCGTATCAGCAGGTCGAGGCAGACTCCTCGTCCCAGAGATGTGTGCGAACAGAGGCGCATTCCTTGCCGCCCCGTTGGTAGTCTACATAAACAGACAGTAGGGGCTGGAGAAGAGCCCATTTGGGGGGAAATCATGCGCGGCGACAGAAAAGTGCCCAAGGAGCAGAGTTGTACAATGAACCGCCATGCTATATCACTACCTGGCGAGGGGAAGACAATAGTGGATGCAGTCCGGCATTGCAGGAGGTTGTTTTAGAGATGCTGCCTTGAAGA